CGCAACTCTTGGTTAATTGATAGAGTGCTGTTCTACTTCTATTGACCTATTCCGGCTTTTTAAAAATCGAGAATTTGCTTCCTTATGTAGCAAACATCTTTATCATCTACACACAACAAAACAACACTTCAAGATTCACAACAACATTTACATAACTACCGATAAGAAAGCTTATACGATATAAAGTGTCTAAGGAAAGTTAATATTGTTGTTTAGTGCATAATATCAAGTGGATGTAGTTTTGCAATTTGATTGTCTGCTTAAAAAATAATTTTGAAGCGTTTTTGAGTAATTCTACATTTTCTTCTTTTCCAGCATTCTTCAAGTTAAAATTAGAAGAGTTTCTGAATTGGGTCAAATCAGAAAATAAAAGGTAAGTATTTATACTGAAAGTTTATTATCCATTTTACCGGTTTCGCCCTAATATGGAGAACATCTTCAGGAATGCGTCCATATAAGTGATTGTTGATTCTTGCTAAGTTATAAGCTAAAGAGCGCTTCAATATTACACTCAATTTCTAATCTCATTGCTGTATATTCATTATACAGAAACGTATTTCGGCTTTTTAAAAATCGAGATTTAAACATCATTAACATCTAGACACAAAACTAAAGAACACTTCAAGATTCACAGCAACATATAGCTACCGCTTAATAATGAATTATTAAAACGAAGAAATTCTTATAGTGTCAGTTAACAAAAGAAAGCTTATACGATATAAAGTGTCTAAGGAAAGTTAATATTGTTGTTTGGTGCATAATATCAAGTGGATGTAGTTTTGCAATTTGATTGTCTGCTTAAAAAATAATTTTGAAGCGTTTTTGAATAATTCTACATTTTCTTCTTTTCCAGCATTCTTCAAGTTAAAATTAGAAGAGTTTCTGAATTGGGTCAAATCAGAAAATAAAAGGTAAGTACTTATACTGAAAGTTTATTATATATTTTACCGGTTTCGCCCCAATATGGAGAACATCTTCAGGAACGCGTCCATATAAGTGATTATTGATTCGTGTTAAGTTATAAGATAAAGAGCGCTTCAATATTACACGCAATTTCTTTAACATCTAGACACAACAAAAGAACACTTCAAGATTCACAACAACATTTACATAGCTACCGCTTAATAATGCATGATTAATACGAAGAAATTTTTATAGTGTCATGCAACAAAAGAAAGCTTATACGATATAAAGTGTCTCAGGAAAGTTAATATTGTTGTTTGGTGCATAATATCAAGTGGATGCAAATAATTTTGAAGTTTTGTTTTGTTTTTTTCCAGCTTTCTTCAAGCTCAAATTAGAAGAGTTTCTAAATTGGGTCAAATAAAAAATAAAAGGTAAGTACTTATATTGAAATTTTATCTATTTTACCGGTTTCGCATTAATTTCTTAGCCATCATCAGGAGACGCGTCCATCAACTACACAAATATTTATAATAAAATATTTTTTTCGACATTCTAAGATATATTCTGTATATGAATGACACTTAGATTCTATAGTTCATATTTTTATTGCCATCGTACATTGTGTTACAATCGGGCAATTGAACGCCCGACAAAATAGCCCCTTCGCGGCTTTATACCCGCTTATTACCAACAACCGGAGTCCCCTTTTTCACGACAATAACCGGGGATAATGGTACACGGGGAACCCGTAACAAAGTTACCGACCACAGTTGACTTTTATCTTTTCGGTAGGGAGGGTTTAAATACACGCCCACGCAACTAAATTAGCCATATGGCCTAACTATTTCTCCTATTATTTTTTTTAATCGATAATAAAAAATATTTTTATGGCTACAAACCTGTATCACTCTCATTGGTAGTCCAGTTTCTTTAGCCAATTGTTCCCGTATGTGCCGCGTTGGTTTCGGTGTTTGTCCGAATGCCGTCTTTAGAATTTCCAATTGTTTTGCTTTGATGGTCGTTCGGGGTCCGCGACGTTTCGATCCGGCGCTGCTATCGTCAGGGCTTTTGTTCTCCGTTTGCGAGTCCCTCGTTTCCGCGTCACCATCCAACGAGTTTTGGTCCTCCGAGTCGTCTTGACCCGTTTTCGAATCCTACCGAACAAAATTAGACTCTATTAACTTTTGATATTAAAAAAAAAATTTAATCGAGTAAGCTTCTCAGAAAACCAATCTAGTTTACACAAAACGCAAGCAAGATGATCCTATTGATGATGAAGTTAAAAGAAGATTGGTGTCGTTGAGCATATGTTGCGATTGAAGACTACTTACTTGACCTATTGAACTGCCTAAGTCAGAATGAGATAGTGAGTTATTGTTGGCTTCGCTCGGCGCTGGANTAAAAAAAAGAAGTTAAAACAATAAAAAGGTCAAGTTAAAACGCGAAGAAGTCGAAGTTCACAACGAAGAAAAGAGAAGTTACCTTCTTCTTCTTCTTCTTCGACCCAGTACAAAAACAAACACTTGATATATTGGCCAGAGATGATATAGGGGATGCGCTTATGGGCCCCCCATTTTCTTTTCTTCTCTTTCTTTTCTGATCTCTAGCGTGGGCGTAGTGCGAACGTGGAGCGCCCGAAGAAGGGCCGAGAAAAAGATGAACCGGTGGTTCGCGGGGAGGGTACGGCGGGTGGCCGTAATGCCTTGTTTCTCAGCATGCTTCCACACTAATTGGGGTTCGCGGGGTCCTCTTCGGAACCCGCCGCATGCGGTCGTCCGAGAGACCCGGTCGAACACGGTAATTGGAAGAACAAAAATCGGGAGGGCTGCGTGAAAATCGGAACCGCAAAAAAAAGAATTCAGATAAAAGGGATATTGGGAAGAATTGCTGTGGTTCATTCATAAAAATGAGAAATAATTGGTTTTTTTGTATCTTGGAAAAAAGTTTGTTAGAGCTACGTTTGTAGAGCACATTATTATCAGATTACCTGAAAGGCCATCTACGACAGAATCTATCAGAGAGTGTTTGATGTAATATGGATCCACCAGGTAGGTTTCAGGCTAATATGAAGCTGCATTGACCAGGTACTCTCGACTTATATGGATTCCAATGGAAGCTCAAAACATTTACTGCATTCATTGATCTGTCGACTACCTACGACACTGTATGGAGATACATGATCTGTAAGTTCCTAAGTGTTATCCCATGTAAATCGCCTGCTAAATAATATGCTGAAAGCAGAACATTCCGAGTTGTCATAGTGTCTGATGTGAGCTTATCAAGAAAACTCAAGAGTGGCCTGCCATAAGGCTACATTTTAACCTATATATCGAAGATATGCCAGAAAGATCGAAAAAGCTCGACTATGCCGATTACTGGACTCTTGCAATAAGAGTCTGGGAGGTTACTTTCGGAAATGGCGCCTTCTAACTAAGAAACCTAAGGTAACCTTAGAATACAATTTGAGAACTTATTCACAACAAAAGACCAAAATACTTAGGCGTTACATTTGATAGAACCCAAAAAACATATCGCAAAAAGAGCTGAGAAATTAAAAACGAGGAGCAATATTATACAAAATCTCTGTGGAACAACATGGGAAGCGTTTGATCCCTGAGTCTCTAGTTCATATTTTTATTGCCATCGTACATTGTGTT